CCATTTCAATTTAAGATATTGTAATTTCCAATTTGATTGGCGTTTGCAATCACCATCAACAAAGCTCAGGGCCAATCTTCAGAATTGTGCAGTTCATATCTGGACGCGGATTGCTTCTCACATGGACAATTATATTTTGCGTGTTCTAGAGTCGGCAAACCAGACAGTCTCTATATCTCCACAGACAATGGCACAACAAAAAATATTGTATACCCACAAGCATTGTAAAATTAAGCATATTAAAAACTTGCGCTCTCCCTTTTCTTTCTTTCCCACTTACCCAGACTGAGCCACAGCAACGCGTGGCGGGTGCTGCTAGTTTATTATATATATAAGGCCATCACGACCGGACAAAAGGTGATAGTAGCCGAGGCTAATTCCCCATCATCCTGCCGGCACTCTGATGGTAATCTTGGGCATGGTATTTTATCAAATCACCTCATTCTTTGGGGCACACGTGAGGAACACAAATGCAAACAAGCCTGAACGGTCCCCAGGCATATATGCAACTGAAAACTCTCACCCCAGATTTGACTCGAACCCATACTGCCAGGAGAACTCTGCAACTGGTGTACAGGACCCCTTAACCACTCGACCATCATGACCGGACAAAAGATGATGGTAGCCGAGGCTAATGCCCCATCATCTCACCGGCACTCTGATGGTAATCTTGGGCATGGTATTACCATCATGTAGGGTGAGTTTTCAATTATATATATATATATATATATATATATATATATATATATATATATATATATATATATATATATATATATATATATATATATATATATATATATATATATATATATATATATATATATATATATATATATATATATATATATATATATATATATATATATATATATATATATAATATATATATAATATATATATATATAATAATATATATATATATATATATATTTTTCTTCATAAGAAGAAAAAAGAGAAAATATATTAATTCAGGAAAACTTGGCGTATTAGGCAAATCGGGCCTTGCATAGTAGGCTGAGAAGTGCGTTCTGGCTACTAGGTACGACATATATATATATATATATATATATATATATGTATATATATATATATATATATATATATATATATATATATATATATATATATATATATATATATATATATATATATATATATATATACATACTCCACCTGCCAAAGATAGGACTCCACCTGCCAAAGATTATTGGGGAATATAAACCTGGATATGCGCATGGAAATGTCAAGACACACAAGCCTGGAAACCCACTTCGGCCAATCATTAGCCAGATATCCACACCCACGTACAGACTAGCGAAGCGACTCAACGGCCTGCTGACTCCTTATGTCCCTTGCGCCTTCAGCCTGAAGTCGCCAAAGAAATTTGTTGACTTACTGCGGGGCACACGGGCCACAGGAATAAGAGCTTCGTTGGACGTAGAATCGCTGTTCACCAACGTACCAGTGGACGAGACAATTGGGATGATAGCCGACAGAGTATATCGTGATCAGGCCCGTACTCCTCTTGACATACCAGAAAATATCCTAAGGAAACTACTCCAAGCTTGTACTAAAGAGGCACCCTTCTTGAGCCCGGATGGGCACATGTATAAGCAAGTAGATGGGGTCGCCATGGGTTCTCCCCTAGGTGTCCTGTTTGCAAACTTCTACATGGGTACCATCGAGCAAAAAGTCTTAGTCGACATGAACTTGAAACCGGCCATATACTGCAGGTATGTTGACGACATTTTTACACAGGTACCTGATGTCAGACATCTGCAGGAGCTGAAGGAGGCATTTGAGCAGAGTTCCGTGCTGCGTTTCACTTACGAGATGGAAAAGGATGGGAAGCTGCCCTTTCTAGATGTAACAGTCATGGAAAAGAGCGGAGGTTTCCACACTGCAGTCTACACTAAGGAAACCAACATAGGAATGTGCCTAAATGCCAAAAGCGACTGTCCAGATAGGTACAAGAGGAGTGTTGTTAACTCATATGTCGACCGTGCTCTCAGCCACAGCTCAGAATGGAAGCAAGTCGACGAAGAACTCTGTAGGGTAAGGCAGGTCCTAGTCAACAACGGCTTCTCCAATGGTTTCGTCGAAGACATCATAAGAAGGAAAGTGAAACGCCATGCAATCTCTGAAGAGACAACTAACACAACACCTATACCCCCTATTAGACTATTTTACAGGGACTTCTTTTCCACAGCTCATAAAATGGAGGAAAGGGTCCTGAAAGATATTGTTAATAGAAACGTTATCCTTACAGAAAAAAATCAGAGGATACAACTGACGATTTACTATAAAACCAGAAAAACGGCCAGCCTACTCATGAGAAACTCTCCAGACACAAAACAGAACGCTTTAAAAGAGGCCAACGTCGTCTATGCATTCAAATGCCCTCTTGGGGACTGTAAGCTCCAAAAAACCCAGTATATAGGCAAGACAACAACATCTCTTTCTAGGCGTTTAACGATGCATAAGCAACAGGGCTCCATTAAGGAACATATAATCTCTTCCCACAACCAAACCATCGCCAGAGAAATCCTAGTAAACAACACAGAAATCATCGATAGTTACAGCGATAGCAGGCGGCTTGACGTTTGCGAGGCACTACACATCAAGAAGTCAACACCAGCAATCAACAGCCAATTAATGCACAACTATATTCTACCCACCTCAAGACTCCACTCCAATATAGAAGCATCAAGAAATATGGACCAATAGGCTTTCTACAATCACTTCTATTCAATACCCATTGTTTCGTGTTCTGTCTGGAGTTGATGAAATTAATACCTTATTAAATACCACCTCACCCCATCCACCTCACTCAAATGTAGATATAAACAAATCGAAGATGTGCAAGTTCTATTCAGTTGTGTATGTGTTAACTAAAGTCTTTGAAAATGTAATAAGTTTTACGAAACGCGCTCAAGTGTCGCGTCAGACTAGAAATAAAAATGAATTTTGGAGAATTGATTTTTGAATTACCACCAACAGTGAAAAGAAATGTACGGAAGATTGAGAAAATTCGTGTTAGAATTATTAATCTTACTTTTTCGGTCATATTTAATAATATATGTGTACAGGAAAGACTGCTACCAAAATATACTAATATATATATATATATATATATATATATATATATATATATATATATATATATATATATATATATATATATATATATATATATATATATATATTTATTTACACTTATTTGTATAATTTGCACGACGTTTCGAACCTCCATGGTTCATTCTCAAGTGAACAGATCTTACAATACTAGTTGATTTTATACCCGCATTATGTCAGGTGATAATACAATGAAGGTGAAAACATGGGGGGATACATAAGGGATAAACATAGGGGCTGCAGAAGGCTTATTGGCCCATACGAGGCATCTCCTATCTAAACACAAAGATTAATCCAGTGTAATTGGCCTGTTATGCTGGACATTGTCTTCTGTGTTGGCATCGATATGTTCTTGTCTTGTCCTTACTCTCATGGACAAGACAAGAACATATCGATGCCAACACAGAAGACAATGTCCAACATAACAGGCCAATTACACTGGATTAATCTTTGTGTTTAGATAGGAGATGCCTCGTATGGGCCAATAAGCCTTCTGCAGCCCCTATGTTTATCCCTTATGTATCCCCCCATGTTTTCACCTTCATTGTATTATCACCTGACCTAATGCGGATATAAAATCAACTAGTATTGTAAGATCTGTTCACTTGAGAATGAACCATGGAGGTTCGAAACGTCGTGCAAATTATACAAATAAGTGTAATACACTCTATAGTAAATCACTTCTTTTCTTCACCTTAAAAGTACGAAAATGAGTTTTGGAGAACTCCTATTTCAAATAAGCCCTGATGCTAAGAAAATAGTTAGAGGGATAGAAGCCCTAAACCAGAAAATAATAAATACAGAATATGCGGTCATATTCAATGAAACATGTTTGAAAGAAAACCTGCTGCCAGTATACACCAATATATATATATATATATATATATATATATATATATATATATATATATATATATATATATATATATATATATATATATATATATATATATATATATATATATATATATATATATATATATATATATATATATATATATATATATATATATATATATATATATATATTACTTTCTTCATCCCTCTCAGTAACCGTTCAAGTAAGTGCGAGTCCATTCAATAGTACGGAGACAAAACTGAACTGCATCATCTTAATCGGATCTAACAAGTGCAAGATAAAGCTCAATAATAACATTAGATGTATTGAGTCCTTGAATGAAGGTGAAGGAAACACACATTTTATGTTTAAGTGTATTAAAAAAACAATTTTTCGGATTTAATCTACATCACTTCTCAAGGTGATGTATATATTTGTTGTATACAGTATAACGTTGTATATATTGTATACAGCACCTTGAGAAAGGATGGAGATTACCTCCGAAAATTTAGTTTTTAAAACTCTTAAATTGGGTGTTCCCTTCACCATCATTATATGTATGATTGCAATCGCTTCGGTTAATAAATACCTGTATCCTATTTCCCTTATTCTATATATTTATGCATGTATATGAGATTGCAGGTGATCATGACTCCTAAATCTGTTACAGATTACATGATATTGCATTGTTACAATGATGATTCAAGATATATAATGTTTAACTCTGGCAGATATTTAGGGTCTAAAATTCACAGAGAATGAACTTGATATAAATTATATAAAGACTGCAAATTTGGTTGGGAATTATTATTTTCAAAAAAATACTTTTTCTTTTATTACATTTAAGAAATACTATGTAAGTTATTTTTAAAGGGTCGAGCTCTAGAATGGCGGGAGATGGCATATTGTGATGCTGTCAAGAGAAAGTTCACGAAGCGGGAATTAGTATCATTATTATCAGACTAATTAACTGAATAAATGAGGGACTTGTGAGATACATTGTCATCAAGTATTGTCTACTTACACTTTCTTGAGTCTGTCGGTCTTGTCTTCCAGGTTGAGCAGAGTGTCTTTCTTGCCGTCGCGTCTCTCGAAGATTGGCTTCTGAACCCAGTTGTCTAAGATGCCATCCAGTCGCTTCAAGTTGGTCTGGGCCTTCTGGACGCGGCTCTCCAAGTTGCTGACAGTGTCGCGGAGAACTTCTATGTACTCCCACACTCCTGCGTTAAGCAAGTGACAACGATTTAAGCAATTGGTTCCACAACCTTGAGTGAAGGTTGGGTAAGGAAGGTACTCATCAAGGTAAGGTACCCTCAAGGTAAGGAAGGTACTCATCTGCAATATATGTTATCTATCTTGACAAAATTGTTAAATCTAAATTTTTTTTAAGTTGATACAAGCTTAAGCTGAGGTTGTCGTGAAAAACTTCTCACAAATACCAAAGAGAAAGTTGAGGTAAGTATGCCATGTACTGCAAGAAATGACTCCTTAAATTTTATCACAAAGGTTTTACCGTCTGAGTTCCATGTCAGCTCATTCTCGGATTTTGCGATAGTGTTATCGATGTCCTCAATTTCCTGCTTGATGAGACTGAATTCAACGTCGTTTGTGTTTGTTCTGATGTGGTTGTACCTGCGAGTGCCAGGAAACACAAATGTATAATGACTGTGTCCACGATCACTGGAGGGGGGCATGATCACAGGGGGGGGGGCACGATCACCGGGGGGGGGGGGATGGCCATCAGCACAGAAGATACAAATGCACAAATGGAAAAAAACATCAACGTCATTTTAAAAATGGCCTAATACTGATATCTTTGGCCTTGGATTGCTAAGTCAGGTTAGGTTAGGTTTATGGTTACTTTATTCCAATTTTTGCTATACCTTTGTCATTCCAATAATACAAAGAGTGAACTTTGTTTTGGCAGTAACAGTCCAATATTATGTGTACTCCAACCATAGTAACTGCAGGATCACTCCTGTTTCAGGATGGGACAAAGACATTCTAGCAACTGGCAATTCAATAATGTAGAAACACAAACGTGTAAGACATAATGGTCACACCAAGAAATCTGTCATAGGTTAATTTAGGTAGGCAGAGATGGATAAGCATACATCACACAATATCATTATCTAATCAAATTGAACATTGTATAAGGTTGGAGGCCAGACGCCTGGTGCGTCTGGTCCTCCTCATTTAAGAGGAACTAACTTCGAGGGAAAGGAGGGGTCGAAGTCGGCCGCGATCCCCCTCCCCACTGAAGGGAGGTCTGCCCCTACACCCACTTTATTAATTCAGTGGATATGAAATGCTCTGCTCCATGCTCGAAGAGTTCGGCATTCATTTAAATATTAGTAGGAGAGTATTTTCTGACTCCTAAAGACCTGAAAGTGCCAGTATAATATGCTAATATGCCGTGTTCAGATCCGAAACCTATGTATATGGGCAGCACAAAACGACAACAAGACTGTGCGACACAGTAGTTGCCAGGATCAGGTTAGTTTACCGTTATCTGTTGCAGGAGGCTACAAGTGACGAATCTTCCAATCCTGAGCACTTCAGGTGCAAACTCTGAACAGGAACTGGGACATGATCTCACACAGTACATTACTGAATCCCATGTTATTACATCCTTGAGACCCCCCTGACAAGTGTTTCCAGGAACTTTGTAATCACTTTGTTAACTCTCGTGTTCGTGAGGATATCCTCATAATGCCTCCAGAGTTTGCCAATGCAGACTACTGATCACTTGACCCTGCGTGACTAATTATCCTGTGTGATAATTTCATAATAATAATAACTCCTTTCCATATAGTCTAGGGTAGGTGTACAAATGCAGATGTACCTAAACGTATTAATAAATAAAAAGGGTTTTCAGATCCTGACATGGAAAACGTATGTGCAGATGAGAGATTTGAATTCTGGGTATAACCTTTTCGTTACAGTATGGCGTGTGTGTGTGTGTGTGTGTGTGTGTGTGTGTGTGTGTGTGTGTGTGTGTGTGTGTGTGTGTGATTACAGTGATGGAAGACAAGGACGGTGTTTGTGGGTTGAGATGGTAAGGGGTGTTTGTGGGGTGGAGGTTGGAAGGATATGTATGGGTGGAGGTAGGAAGAATACGTATGCGTGGAGGAGGGAAGGATGTGTAAAAGTGGAGGTGGGAATGTTATGTATAGGTGGAGGTGGGAAGAATGTTCTTGGGTAGAGGTGAGAACGGTGTGCATTGGGGTAGAAGTGGGAATAGTGTGTATGGGGTGGAGGTGGGAATGGAGTGTATGGGATGAGGTAAGAAGGGTGTGTGTGTATAGATTGAGGTGTAATGGATATGTATAGGTGGAGGTGAGAATGATGTGTGTGGGTGGAGGAGGGAAGGTGTTTAAGGGTTGAGGTTTGAAAGATATGTATGGGTGGTGGTGGGAATGGTGTGTATGGGTGGTGGTGGGAATGGTGTGTATGGGTGGTGGTGGGAATGGTGTGTATGGGTGGTGGTGGGAATGGTGGGTATGGGTGGTGGTGGGAATGGTGGGTATGGGTGGTGGTGGGAATGGTGTGTATGGGTGGTGGTGGGAATGGTGTGTATGGGTGGTGGTGGGAATGGTGTGTATGGGTAGAGATGGGAATGGTGTGTATGGGTGGTGGTGGGAATGGTGTGTATGGGTAGAGATGGGAATGGTGTGTATGGGTGGTGGTGGGAATGGTGTGTATAAGTGGAGGTGGGAAGAATATATATAGGTGGAAGTGGGAATTATGTGTATTGGTGGTGGTAGGAAGGGTGTATATATGGGGGCAGGTTTGAAGGATATGTATGGGTGGAAGGGGGAATATGGTTTATGCGTGGAAGTAGGAAGAGTGTGTATAGGTGGAGGGGGGAAGAGTGTGTATAGGTAGAAGTGGGAAGGATATGTATTGGTGCAGGTAGGAAGGATATATATGGATGGAGGCGAGAATGGAGTGCATGGGTGGAGGTTGGAAGGATATGTATAAGTGGATGAGGGAATAATGTGCATAGGTGGGGATGGCAAGGGTGTGTACGGATGGTGGTGGTAGGAAGAGCACCACCATCAACATAACATCAACACCACCATCAACATAACATCAACACCACCATCAACATAACATCAACACCACCATCAACATAACAACCATGACCCCCCCCCCCATGCCACGAGCATTCACACCCAGGGAAACATCCTCCAGAGGTCAAGAACAGGTGAACTCTTGATCACCTTGCAAAGTTAAATAAAATATTTCCTGGATAGACCCTAGTCAGCTTGTTTCAAGTAGAAGATATTAATCCCGATAGTCTTGTCAAACACACTTAATGATGCATTCTTGAGTGTTTTGTGATAATCCTTGGGAAGCTTCCAATGAAGGTCAGCCCAAGTGACCTCGGATCTTCTTGCAGAGTCTTGAAGTGCTGATTAACTAGTTAGGTGAGCAGACATTTTTAATTGGAAATTCCGTGGGTAGGCTGAATCAGCTGGGAACAAGACTACTTCTCACGTTCTCACATGATTTGCAACAACACGCTCCTGTTGCGGGGCATGGCAAGGCTCCTGTTGCGGGGCATGGCAAGGCTCCTGTTGCGGGGCATGGCAAGGCTCCTGTTGCGGGGCATGGCAAGGGTGTGTATATATATGCCTGTAGGGCAGCTCAGTGTCAGAGTGCTGGGGGCGAGGCATCAGAGTGGACGCCGCAGGTCATCAGACGCGGTCAGAGGGAGAGGAAGTCAGTCCACCCAAGGGTCGAAGAGCAGTATCCAGACGGTAATGTGAGTGATCTCTGGTTGTAGTCCATGTAGGATGTCTGAATAATTGCCAGTGTTATAAAAGGGACTTGGAGTTTGGTGAATATCATCATTGTATCCTAATAAACTCGTGGTCAATTTTCCATCTGTGTGTGTTAATCATTGGGCCACCCAATCCTCTGTGCTCGGATTGTTACCAACCGGACAATAAGGAATGACATCGAGAGGAGAACTCTCAAAGCCACTTCCTGTCTCATTGCTTGACATGAATGCGTGTGTGGGGTCGGCAGCTGGATGTAATGGACTTGAGTCGAGCACGGGTTGAGTACTGAGTGCGAGTCCCACGTGCACAACGTCTACAACCTATATTATAACCTTTATATCAAGGCGGTGAGATGTGTTTGCCAGTAAAACTGAAGAAAGTATAGAGCACTGTGCCATATTAACATCGTTCTCCAAATACGTGTATTGAAAATACACAAAATATGATTAATCTTTACCTGTAAGCTTAAATAAAAGAATAACAATAATAGACAGGGTTGTTCCTTATTAAGTTCCAGGTCAGCTGAAATAAGTGCTAATTTATCCTCCAGATACCAATAAGACTTTAGAAAAGAAAATACACAACTACACCAAAAGTTTATCTAGGATTCCTAAACATAACATTTACTCTAATCATATTTAACAGACATAATTATGAGTAAAAACTGTGCACATTGGGAGCTTACCAGTCGGTGACGAGCTGGAGGTTGGCAGTGTACTTCCTGAAGGTGCTGCGGCGGGCGGCCAGCTCAGCGCCATCCTGCAGGTTCTCCCCCACCACCCACACGTACCTCAGCTCCTGCAGCGCCCTCACCAGCTGCTCCGTCAAAGTCAGAGTCATTAACCCAGACAATTATCGTGTTGACGAAAGGGTCACTTGCATTATCTTGAGACTCGGGGTCGCTACAGATATCTCAAATGGTTTATATAGTTCAAGGTAACGCCCATTATCATATGAAGAAAGATAATGATTAGTGGAGAGAGATTGGCAGAGAAATAACCCCTGTGTATTTACTATTTATGCCTGCAGAATTGAGCTGTTAGCTCTTGGACCCGCCTTTGTAAGCACTCGATTGTTCCATAATTATGTCTACTACATATATTTCCCTGTAACACACACACTCACACACACCAACCACTCCCCCGGTTCATATAGTACTTTTTGTAACTATGTGCACCATAATACACACATTGACGTACTAAGCAATTGGAGTAGAATTTTGTACTATTAACTTAATGGTGTGAGAAAAAAGAAGCTATAAAACAAGCAAATATTTCTAGGTCAAGTATAGCACACATACGTACTATATTAGCCCTCAGACAGCGCGTATTAGGCCTAGCAACGTTAAGTTAGCTTAGTTTAGTTTGTCTTTGCAATATATATATATATATATATATATATATATATATATATATATATATATATATATATATATATATATATATATATGTCGTACCTAGTAGCCAGAACTCACTTCTCAGCCTACTATTCAAGGCCAGATTTGCCTAATAAGCCAAGTTTTCCTGAATTATTATATTTACTATAATTTTTTTCTTATGAAATGATAAAGCAACCCTTTTCTCTATGTATGAGGTCAATTCGTTTTATTGGAGTTAAAATTAACGTAGATATATGACCGAACCTAACCAACCCAACCTAACCTAACCTAACCTATATTTATAGGTAAGGTTAGGTTAGGTAGCCAAAAAAAGCTAGGTTAGGTTAGGTTAGGTAGGTTAGGTAGACGAAAAAACATTAATTCATGAAAACTTGGCTTATTAGGCAAATCGGGCCTTGCATAGTAGGCTGAGAAGTGCGTTCTGGCTATTAGGTACGACATATATATATACATATATATATATATATAATCTTTTCTGAGCTGAACAAATTCAATAGTTGTTGGAAACTGCGACACTAGATTACTAACCACAAAATTTATTAGAAGAAATGGGTTTTGGGACCGTTCACAGAAAAAGGGAAACCCGTGACGTCATCAAAATATTCATGTAAGCTCTACACATATCCCTAAAACAAACAGTCTAGTGAATAAACTTGATAGAAAAATGTTCTCTATGATTGATTTATCTTAATGAATTCTACTTTAAAATTAAAGGTCCCCCCCCTCCCCCATTGTCAATAAAAAGACAAAAAATTCACCATATTTCTGGAGACGATGGAAGGACAAGGGAGCCTGGGCGACAGAATGTAAACAAAAAAAAAGAGGCTGACGAGATTGTGTAAACAAAGGTCGTGAAGGTTCTGCGACACACGTCACTTCAAAGACCTGATATTTTCATCGCTCAACAGTGATTCTGCCACAGTGATCTTATCTATAATAGGGAAGAACTCAGTATCCGACGAAACATCATGTATTTTAATTTTATGGCCATAAATAAATTTTACATAGATTAGTTGGTTATGCAACATGACCACCAAAACACTAGTAAGCCTAGTTTTAGCAATTACAGTGTCCTAATTAATACATTAATAGATAACCTGATTAAGTCATATTTTATTGACTATAATTGTCGAACTGTATAAAATTCCATAAGGTAACCTGTGACGAACTGAAGAACTCACAGCAAGCTGTTAGCACCTACAGTGATTCTGAACAGACACCATATTTGCTTGAACATGAGGCGACACAGCTCACATGTCCAGCATGGGTGCATGGCTGGAAAACCCAACCAACACTTCCTCAACCTCTAAGCTAAGTCCCGTATCACAATAATACCAGTTGCAATTGGACTAACATTAAATCAGTAGCTTATTTTAATATCCACTATTTGAGGATATTATATGGCTTTGTATATAACCCCCTCAAACTTGTGTACAGGTAAATACCTAACAGGATAACTTTTAAATAAGTACTACAAAAACAAGGGGAAGAGCTGCACACACACACACACACACACACACAAGGGGAACACGCACAAGGGGACACAGGTGGAAACTGAGTGCCCAAATGAGCCACAGAGATATTAGAAAGAACTTTTTTAGTGTCAGAGTGGTTGACAAATGGAATGCATTAGGAAGTGATGTGGTGGAGGCTGACTCCATACACAGTTTCAAGTGTAGATATGACAGAGCCCGATAGGCTCATGAATCTGTACACCTGTTGATTGACGGTTGAGAGGCGGGACCAAAGAGCCAGAGCTCAACCCCCGCAAACACAACTAGGTGAGTACAACTAGGTGAGTACACACACACACACACACACACACACACACACACACACACACACACACACACACACGCAGGAGGCAGGGGACCGAACACAAGGTATCATCTGGGAGGTGAAATCCTGCAAGAGTCAAATAGAGAGAAAGATCTGTGGGGTTGATATCACAACGAAATTGTCCCCAGAGGCCTACATCAAAAGAATATCATCAGCGGCATATACTAGACTGGCCAACATAAGAACTGACTTTAGAAACTTGTGTAAGGAATTGTTCAGGACCCTGTATACCACTTATGTAAGACCAATCCTGGAGTATGCAGCTCCAGCCTGGAGTCCATACCTAGTTAAACACAAGACAAAGTTAGAGAAGATCCAGCGGTATGCCACCAGGCTCGTCCCGGAACTGAGACGAATGAGCTACGAGGAAAGGCTAAAGGAGCTGAACCTCATATCCCTGGAAAACAGAAGAGTAAGGGGAGACATGATAACCACCTACAAAATTCTCAGGGGAATTGACAGGGTGGACAAAGACAAACTCTTCAGCACGGGTGGGACACGAACAAGAGGACACAGATGGAAACTTACTACCCAGATGAGCCACAGAGACGTTAGAAATAATTTTTTCAGTGTCAGAGTAGCTAATAAATGGAATGCACTAGGAAGTGATGTGGTGGAGGCTGACTCCATACACAGTTTCAAATGTAGATACGATAGAGCCCATTAGGCTCAGGAATCTGTACACCAGTTGATTGACAGTTGAGAAGCGGGACCAAAGAGCCAAAGCTCAACCCCCTCAAGTACAATTAGGTGAGTACAATTAGGTGAGTACACATACACACACACACACACACACACACACACACACACCTGGGGGCCTGGTAGCCTGATGGATAGCGCGCAGGACCTGTAATTCTGTGGCGCAGGTTCGATTCCTGCACCAGGCCGAAACAAATGGGCAAAGTTTCTTTCACCCTGAATGCCCCTGTTACCTAGCAGTAAATAGGTACCTGGGGGTTAGTCAACTGTCACGGGCTGCTTCCTGAGGTGTGTGTGTGTGTGGCGTGAAAAAAAAGTAGTTAGTAAACAGTTGATTGACAATTGAGAGGCGGGCCGAAAGAGCAAAGCTCAATCCCCTCAAATACAATTACGTGAATACAACTAGGTGAATACAACTAGGTGAATACACACACACACTCACACACACACACACACACACACACACTCTCTCTCTCTCTCTCTCTCTTGCTCTCTCTCTCTCTCTTGTTTGCTCTCTCTTGCTCTCTCTCTCTTGTTTGCTCTCTCTTGCTCTCTCTTGCTCTCTTGCTCTCTCTTGCTCTCTCTCTCTCTTGACAAGGGACAAAATGGCAGGAGGCCGCAACAGGGACAAGGAAAGCAGCCAGAGAGATCAAACAAAGGAATTGCTAACCCAAGTTCTGGAGGAATTCAGGAGGGAGATGAATGAAATGAGGATTACAATGTGGGATATTTGGGTTTGATTCTGATTAATTAATAATTAAAGTAGTAAATTAAATTACGAAGGACCACCCGCTTTTAAAGTAAAGAGGGAAACTGAGAATTTCAGATCATTAGATAAAATTCTAGAGAAAACCAGTGACTATGGATATGACTAGAAGGTATTCAGATATTTCATTCATGGATAAGATGCTTTTATTGTAATGAGCACTTATTTGTCTCAATATGTCCCTAGGTATTTTCTCCTGGACAATTATTTTCAAGACCCACTCAGCCCCGTTTGTATCTGCTGTCAGGCTGAGGGCATTGATCAATGATTCTACCTCCAGCTTGAAGACTTGGAGTGAATCAGCTGAAGCCTCCGGTGGGGGTAAATGCAACAGCTCATGAACTAAATGTGATGTTCTTACTTCTGGATCAGCATAATTATCCTTGAGGAGTTTTACTGCCAGATCATAGCCGTCATTAGTTAATCTCAGATGGGATACTACTGTTTTAGCCTCACCTGATAATTGGCCTTGCAAATAAGAGAATTTACTACTCTTTGGTAAAGATTGTTTTGAGTCTACAAGGTCAACGAATTTGTTCCAAAATTCGTCCCAATCTTCCTCATCTTTTCCTGAGAAAGTGGGTAAATTAATTGGAGGGAGTCGAGCTTCTGCTTGACTCGTATTAGATGCAACTGTTGCTGTTGTTGTTGCCTTGTTCTGGGCAATTAATTTGACATAAGGCTGTAACGTGGCCTGAGTTTGATCTTCATAATTCGCAAGATCAACCATAATGTCGTCTATTTCTGTTTCTGATAAATTGGTGTTGGCAAGTTCAGTCACATATGTTGTTATTTGACATTTGATTTGCTCAAATTTACCTGCAGCTGCTTGATAATAGCTTTCCAGGTCAGCATAATCAACTTGAGATTGTTGTGACAAATCTTCACATTTCTTGATCTGTCTTGTTAAGTGGCCTTTAAGACCTGCAAGGGTTCTTTTCATTCTCCCTGCATTATCCATACTGGCTAGTTGGTGAAGCCTTGTGGGGCTTGTACTTGGGCTGCTCATAATACTGAACAAGCACTGATGGTAGCCTAGGGTAAATTCTGCACTCACTAAGCAATAATCCTACCTCTACTAGAGGTTAGCACTTAAAATTAATACACATTATA